GTTCTAATTGATATGATATTTGATAAAATAGATTACATCTCCATAGTCTATATATTTATTGTAATAGATCAGCTGGTTGACTTAGAAAAATTTGTATTTTAATGAAAATTTCATACTCCCTCCTTTTTTAAATAAATGTCGTTTTGACTTTTTTGATTCATCAATTTTGCTATGTATCTAGACATTAATCATTTTGCTATGTATCTAGACATATTAATGTCTAGATACATAGCAAAATGGACGAATCAAAAAAGTCAAAACGACATTTATTTAAAAAATGAGGTAGTATATTATATTGATATATAATAAATAAGCATGATCCCATTTGTTTTTCATTTATTTACATCATTGAAGACCTTTGACAAGTTACCAAATATATGTGTTTGGCACTATCAATAGTTCATCTGTCACACACAAGCACACACATATAGGTACAATATTGATTGCAATGCTTTTCATTTATTTTTTTTTTCACTTTTTTTTTTTTGCTACTTTTACATATTGATTATACATCAATTAATCCTGAAATATAAGGCTAAACAACGATTTATAACAATCAATTTTTATAGTTAACAATAGAAGCTAACTGTCATATTATATCAATTTAAGTGTAACCATTATTTTTAAACTATTTTATTATATTATAATACTAATAATTATAATTATAAATATAATGAACTTATTCATTTAAGAATGTTTTGCAAGTGTAACCATTATTTTTGTACTATTTTATTATATAATAATACTAATAATTATAATATAATGAACTTATTCATTTAAGAATGTTATTGCGAAATATTTTCTCTATACTATTTATTCTAATATTATAAATTTATATTTTCATTTAAGCGATTTTTTTTTAATTAGCTAATTAGTTTTAATGGCATAACCAATAACCCCTTAAAATTATATAAATAATTGCTATAATAATAATAATAATAATAATAATAATAATAATAATAATAATAATAATAATAATAATAATAATAATAATAATAATAATAATTTCTACCAATCAGTTGGCCGCGATCTCTCAAAATTATATAAATTATATTATTTATTCTACTTTATGTAAAAAAATATAGTGATTAATCATATGTAAGTTATACAATTTATATTTATAATGTTCATTTTTACTAATTGTCAAAATTTTAAATTGTGATATATTCATTATCTAGCTTATAATTTTATATATTAGATATATATATACATATGTTGTACAATATTCTATTTACATAATGTCATGTAGAGGATCAACTATGTTCATTAATTAATAACTCAGATAAATGCTACGTGCATATTATGATATTCATTCTTTCATATACAATGGGAAATGCTTCGAAAAGATAATATGAATTATAGATGCTACGGTCCCATTACGCAATCATTCCGTTCGGGTTTGTATCCGTTATATCAACTATATCTGACGATTACATGATGATCTAACGGTTGCAAACTCCAACGAAATGATTCCGTAACGAGACCATAACATATTCCTTAATTAAATATATAATATTTCTAAATATAAATATATAGTTTTCCAAAAAAATAAAATTATGATAAGTCGGTTAGGTTAACCGTTAAATTATCAGTTTGGATGAGATGGCTTGGGTCTCTTCCAACTTAACCAGTGGTCTCGAGTTCGAACCCTGGGAATACAGCAGTGTTAAAACTCTTGAGGGAGAGCTTTGCCGCCCTTGTGGTCCTACCCGGCTTGATTCCGGATTAGTCGGTTCCCTTGTGGATTCGGAAACCGGAAGGTCCCTGTACCAAAAAAAAATTATCAGTTTAGATGCCGTACAAAGGGTGTCATCTCCAGATGAATTTGTTTTATCTGGCTAACTGATATTGACTGTTTCCTTAATCCTCTTCTAAATATCCCAACTACTAATCTACTGTAGCCATATTATTATAAGCTAGGGATATCCATTAAGGACAACTTGTATTTCAAAAGGAAAAATATTCAAATTTTATCCTAGCCACATAGCATGTACTAAAGTGAGTTTTTTTTTTGGATTAATATCATGGTTCTAAAAAATCGAACCGATCATCGAACAGGTGAATAAAAGTCGGTTTCCGACCAACCGGTTGAACTGGCCGATCCAGTCCGATTTTCAAAACCATAATTAATAAATATACATCGTGTTAATATATTTCTCAAAGATAAAAATCATATCCACTTATTTATATATCATATAAATTTAAAATCATTTAAACTTCACAAGTTTCTAAACTGTTACGCGAATCAACCCGTCATACACTGTGTTACAAAAAATGCATACTTTATAGTTATAGAATGGTTTATAATATGTCATATTTTATTCATATTGTTTTTTAGAGTATCACATCTCAATTCGAAAGTATAAATATATGCTGAAAAATACAAACAGACTAACCATTAGCTCTTCACCTAACTAATTATTAGATCTATCTAATTAAATCTATACTCATTCACATTAAATTCAACTCTTAATTTCACAAAGGTATTTAGGGTGTGATTGTTTATGGATTCAACTAGTTTTTATTTGGTTTGTTTTTTTAACTATAGTTAACTTTGAAAAAAGTAGTATGGTTAGTTGTTAGTGGATGTATTAAAATAATATTTAAATAAAATAATTAAAGTTGATTTGATGTAAAATAGAAGAAAAATAATTGGAAGTGATGGTTAGTTAAAATTATGTGAGTGGATGAATAGTGAACTAAAGTTGATGTGATGTGTAAAAATGATTAGTTGATATTATTTAATTATATTGATAATATGAGAGATAGTGGGGTTGGGTTAAAATTGAGTTAAATTTGAGTTTTGATTGAGTTTTTTTATTGTTGAAACTATAAACAATCGCCCCCTTAAAAACTTGAACTAGTAAAAATTCGGGTAAAACCGCCATTATTGAGAGAACCATTTAAGTCCAAAAGTAAATAATACAAATTTGATATATCAATGAACAATACTAAAAGTGGAAGAGCAAATGCCAGAACAAAAGATAGAATAAAAACATAAAGTTTTAACTAAAATGTGTAAAAACTAAAACCAGCATGTAAAACTTCATGCAGCTGCACTAATACACTCAATTGCTTGTTTGCAGATCCCAGTCATTGTTGCTTCTGGTCCATACACCTGCACACAATAAGAACATATAATTTACTGAAAATTGCAAGAACGACCCTCCCGTTTCGCCTAGTTTAATAAAAGAAAAACAGTTACTTTCAAAACATGAGAAATACCCGGTCGGATATGAATACAAGATCTCAGTATAGAGTTCGAACAATAGTTAAGATTACATTTTTAGTTATAAATCGTTTACCGGGTCGAATATTTTGACATTTTTTACCTCAATAGGAAGGCCGATTTCTTCAGCAAGATCTCTCATCCGGGCAAGGCCCTTTTGATAATTTGGACCACCCCTTCTAACGAAAAGATGCATTCTTGCAGCCTTGAGTTTGGTCTCCTGTTTGTTTGGATCAAGATTAGAATATCTAGTTTTTTACCAAGTAAAAATGGTTCTTTTTTTTTTCATTAATCTTTCGATCTTTAGTGGGAACTGAAATATATTTTTTCTCCATTACCTTTTCTCGGAGGGCTTGAATGATGCCACTGAAAGTAGCAGCCACGTCAGTGAAGTTAGCTATGCCACCACCAATCACAAGGGCTCTCTTTTGGCCATCGGGCTCAGCAGTTGCGCACTGTAAAAAGATCTCAACTCATCGGTCTAAATTTCAACACATTTGCCAAAAGTTTCGCTTTTATGAGAAGTAATTGTTGTAGTAGAATATAGAATTCAAGTCATGACTCACGAAGCATGCATTTCCGATAAGTATGGCTATGTTTGGTAAACTTAGTTTGATTAGTTAGCTTATAGCTTTTAATTGAATTTTGAGCTTATAGCTGATAGCTTATGACTTGGATGAAAAGATAGATAACTTATATGAAAAGTCAAATCAGAAATCTAGAGCGCCATTCTCATCTACAATTCACACAAAAATCTATTAAAAAAAAAATAATCTAGCAGTTAATAATCTCTTCTACTAGTAAAGATCATGCAAGCACTCTTTTCGTTATTTTAGGAGCATTATATATGAGCAAAGGTTCAAAATTGTAAGGAAGAAAGTGTTTCATACATCAATAACGACTCGAGCATATTGCAAAACCTCCTCCTCCTTGGGGGCCCCACTGTATTCCGCGTAGTTTCCGAGCTCATACGCATAGCCAAGGTCTCCAACCTATAAATACGTTCAGACATTATGAATTAAGCAAAATATTCGAGCGAGTGGAGAAAATGGGAAAACAAAGACCAAATCACAAGTAAAAACAAAAAAGAAAATGCAAGAATGAACTAAGTCTATGTTTGGTAAAACTAACTGATATCTTATAAGCGATTTTCTAGCTTATAGCTTATAGTTTATGACTTATAGGTGAAAAACTAGCTTATATAATAAAAGTGTGTGGTAAAATTAGCTGATAAGCTAGCTGAAATAAAAATTTCAACTAGCACATTTGAAAAGCTGCAGTTTAAAAAAAAAAAAAAAACTCGTCCTACCAAACGAAGCTTATTAATACAGGAAGTTTATAAGCTAATCAGTTAAGTTGTGAGCTAGCATATTTAATTACCAAACATAACCTAAGAATAAATTAAGAATGAACGAAAGAAACTCACAGTATCTGCATATATAACACTTGCGCCTCCTCCAGCAACCATTGTCCAAATTCGTCCTTTCGGATTCAGTACAGTGAACTTCAGAGATGCACTCGTCTGCAAGCCGGACAGCAAAAAATTTAAAGAAAATAAAAAAAAAAATGTTTGTATTCTCATAATGCACCACAAGTTGAATATATTAGTCATGATGCCTCGAATATTTCTTGTAACTTTTCTCATAATTATATTGCTTATACCTTCTCGTCTAGTCCGTGAATGAAGCTTTCGGTAGGACTCATAGTCCTTCCAAACGGCATTGGAAATTCGATATTTCCCCATCTACATTGTGATAATAAATAAGTGAATTGTGAAACAATAGAATACGCACACACACACACACATCCTAAATCAACCAAGAACCAAAAAAAAAAAAAAAAAAAAAAAAATACTTTTTGAAGTTTTTGAAAGCAGCAGTATCGTCTAGCTCGCCTCTCATGTCCAGAGGATAAGGCTTTCCATCGACCAATGTGAAGGGATTCATCTCAATAAAAGTGAAGTCCAAATCTGGAGCCATATTAGATAATTAAAACTTTTGCTTCACTGATAATTAAGAGACAACATTGAGGTTTTATATTCATTCGAAGTATTATCTTACATACCTAAAAATAAAGCATAAACGGACTTGATGAACTCCTCAATAACACCCTTAATCTGCATCATAAAAATAGTTAATAATAATAAGATTTTATTAAAAAAAAAAAAAAAAAAAAAAAAAANAAAAAAAAAAAAAAGGTCGATTGACTAGTAAAAGTACCTCCAAGGATAGGGTAGCCACAAGTGGAGCACATAGCTCTGGTGTAAGAGATGCATTTGTTGGTACAAATATCGTCTTCACCTACAGATTGTTTTATAAACATATCATGTTATTTTGGTTAAAAGAAATATAAATAGAAAACAACTGACATGCTTTTATTTATTTATTTCTTTCTTTGTTTGTCTTTTCAATTAGTGAAATATGTAGCATGAGTGGTTTCTAGTACCTTGTCCCAGTTCTCTTCGATCTCAATACCTCCACACTCGGAAAAGCTTATACTACAACCGAGCCTTTCGGACACAATGTTAAGGTAAAATTCATCATTGTGTGGTACAAATGGTTCGACAATGAAAGTCGTTATGGGTCCTTTGCATCCTCCCATCTCGACCTGTATGCATATGCAGGAAGTATGTTATCTTATACTACAATGAAGTTTTAATTTAAATTCATTGTTATAGGTTCACATATAAAAAAATAGAGTTGCTGATTAAACAATGCAATACTCTTCAAATCTACCAATTAAAATAATCATGAAAGGGTTAAGCAAAAATTACACTGAAGTTTAAGCTAAAATTCAAAAAAAGAAAATTCATGTATCTTCGAATTCACTAATGACCCAACTAACGCGCTACAGACAACTTAGAGCATGCTTGGATATGGATTTTCCAAAAAAAAATAAAAAAAATACAATCATTTCTTTTAACACAAATCTAACTCAATTTTAACTCAACCACACCATCCTCAGTATTATCAATATAATTAAATAATACAAACCAATCATTCTTATACATCAAGTGTAATTCACCATTTATCTACTGCATAATTTTAACTAACTATCACTTCACATCATCTCTATCTCCTACTTCTACTTCGAATCAACTTTAATTATTTAATTTTAAATATTATTTTAATATAAGTTCAAAATCCCATTAACAATTAATCATACCACATTTTTCAAAATTAACCAAACCAAAAATTCCAAACAAAATAAAAAAATTCTTATATCCAAGCAAGTTCCTCATTTCTGGATATCTTCAATCCTAACAAACGATTGAACTTTTATTTAATAAAGCAAATTGAACATTTTCTCAATGAACCGCGAAAAGAAATGTCAGAAAAAATGTAACAAATCATTTCCGCAATGAACCTCGAAAAGAAATATCATAAACGTTGTACCTCTTTGCCAAGTTTCTCTTTCACAAAGGCAGCAACTCCAGCCAAATCGAGGTTTAAGGCCACAAGACCACTCTTCCCACGCTTTCCAAACAACATGTCTGGCTTCACAACAAGTCTTGTTGATGAGAGCCACGGTTCTTTGTCTGCTAGTTCATTGAAGTCCGTAGACTCAGTAACCTAAGCCATCAAAAAAGACAAATGATCAGAAATTGTTGAGCCGAAAATCAGAAATGCCACCAAGTTTGTAAAATCTGTATGGATTCGAGATCTATTAGTTCCCACGTGTCGTTTTTTGCTAAAGAGAATCAACCATATTCTAGAAATGGTAAAGGCGCAATATCTGTCGGTTCATTATACATCACACCACAAGACGAACAAGGATACACACTCATTCTCGAAAGATCACATTTTTACAAGAACAACATAAGCCTAGCATTTTATCTGCATAAACAAGAGGGTTATAGATATCAGAAGTTTCGAAAACTTTAAGCATTAAGGAGATTCAACAACAATAATGACACATATCTGTTTAAATGCATAAACCAGTCTCTTCTGCAACAACTTTCTTCATGACAGTCAAATTCTTGTACCCAAAAAGAAAATCTTGAAACTCAAAATCTAAAAAAATAATCAAAAAATGGGATTTTTTTTATGTGTGAAAGAAATGGGTACCCACTTGCGCAGATTTGATTTCCAGATCCGACCCGGAGATCCTCTTGAATTGCTCTTTCAACAATCTCTTGGAATCATACTCTCGGATCTTCTTCCTCGCCATCACTGTCCAACCTGGTTTTCCCCGAATCATATGACCGATTAAAAACAAAATTAAGCAAGAACAAGCTAAAAATTAACAAGCCCATGGCCCAGATCCCGTTTTCTAGATCAGAACAAATCATCGGCTTCATCTAAATCAACTCAAGATCTACGCATTCAATCACATAATACATAAAATTTTGAATTAAAAATGTAAAAAAATCGAAGAAAGGCACGATCTTTACCTCTGTAGATAGAAAATCGAAACAAATGCAAGAAGTTTTGGTGTCGAATAAGAGAGATCACAAGCAGCTGCTGACAAATACGAGATGTTTTTCACCTGAATTTATAGTTTGGAGCGTTTAAGGTACAGATCACATACGATGTGCTTAACAATTAATAAAAATAAACAATAAATAATAATTAATAAAAAAACAAATAAAATAATTAGTTGTCTGTGTAATTTCTATTTTAGCGGGAAGCCATATCCACGAATCATAAATGCACACGTGTCGAGAAGAAAAAAAAAATAAAGACCTACTAACCATTTGGTAAAAATTGGAGTGCTAATTGGGAGAATGGTTTTGTTTGGTGAATTTGGTCCAAAAAAGTGGAACTTTAATTGGTTTAATTAGGTAGCTTGCATTATTTATTTCATAAATTCTTTTTCTCTATCAAACAAAATCTTTTGTCCCATTATCAATTTTACTTGCAAAAATAAGGTATAAGTTTTTTTGTTTTTTTTTTTCCTTTCATAAATAATGTAATTAAAAGTTCCTAATACATAAATGTACTAGTGTCTTTGGATGAAGTTTTATATGGATCTCGTGAATATTGTATTTCGATTCATAAACATGCGATGTTTTATTTCGCATGTCAGAAGTGAGAGATATGCATTGACATTAAATTTTTTTATTTAGATAAAATTTTATTACGTTTTTGTTTCATTTTAGGCACGTGGCAATATTTATTTCATATGTTGAATTAACTTGAAGTGGAAAAATAAGAAATGTAAATAATTTCCGATTTTGACCAATTTTTGCCACAAAAGGTGCAAGCTGGATGAAAGAGAAGTTTCTTGTAATTTTTTCCATTTTTTTTTATTATTTTAAAGTTAAATATGCCGTATTTAATATTGAGTTTTATATGGATCTCGTGAATATTTTTAGGTGCGAAACAACTATTAATATCGAGGTTTAAGCTTACGCGTAAAGCCGGTGGCGATTATTACGACCCATGTCTCTGTTGTTGTTTGTTTTCCATTTTAGCAATAGAGGAGAGCGAAGCGATTCATATTTACGTACAATATTTATTTCATATATTGGAGTGAGTTGAATAAATAGATACGAAACGTCATTAATTTTTTTTATTAAAATAAAAATTCCATAAATTATACATGTGAGATGAAAGGATATTTTCTTGTTGCTTTTTCTCTATTTGATTAAGTATGTTATTTAATATGAAAAAAAGAGGCCATCAACCAATTTTCTGCACCTAAAGCCAAAAAATAAGAAGAAATTGCATAATTGACCAATATTCTTCCTTGGCTAGCTCAAAATGGCACCTAAAAATAGACTAGCAATTTATTTATTGCAATTGCTGGTTTAAATGACCAATATTGATTTACCTGAATTCACACTGACATACAAAACTGGCAAAGGTTAGGAAAAAAAGAGAAAAAAGCATCCATAATTGACTTGTTGTATGAAATGAGACATAAAAGAAAATGAATGCATTTATCTAAGAGCACCCACAATGCTTTGAGTTTCTTAGAAAAAAGTTACATGCCATGTAAGGAATAGACCTAGTCTATAAAAAAGTGTTCTCCAATGCAATTAAAAGTGGAACTAGTCTAGCTTATGTGGCAATAAAAAAATAAGACCTAGTCCACACTTGGGTCTATTTTAGACCCAAGTACAAACCCAAGCACTCATCATTTATTCCTTATTTAATTTTTCTTTTATAAATGAAATATACTAGAGCATTTTTATTGGTTGTCATGTATTCTAGACCTAGTACTTTTTGGTTTTGCATTGGATAGATTTTGATTTTTTTAGTTTAGGTTTGTCCATGTCATTATGGACTTAAGTCTATTTATTTGCCACATATGCAAAAAGAGACCCAAAGCATTGTGGATGCTCTAAGTATGACCTCAGTCTGCATGGGAATAGGTTTTGTGTGTGAACGAGGAGCTTATCCCCTACATATTTTTTCTGAATGAAGCGAAGTGAAGTCAAAAATAGAAGTCACATCAAACTTTCTAGTCATATGCTGAGCTTAAATGACAGACGAGATCTTAGGTGTCAAAATTTCATAATTTGTTATTTGACTTGGATAAATTTTAATTTAATTGCAATCCAAAACTAGTTAGGTTCGGATTACCATAAATATGTTGATTTATTTATGATCATTTTAGATGTATTAGTTGTGTTTTTTTTTGGTACATGTATTAGTTGTGTTTTAATATCATTTCATATTATAACTATTGAATTATAAATGTATTTTAAAAATTGATAAATTTTGTATTTCTTATCAGTTTTACATATATAATGTATTAAATTTATAATCTTTTGATAAATTTCGATTTGACATCCATATTGTATATATAAAACAAATAAATTAAGCACCCGTGTAATACACGGTCGTTGTACTAGTATTATATAGAACTCAAACTTATGTTACTTCACCTCTAACTAGTTTATAAATATTAACAAATCAAACTCTATCTTTAACGAGCTAAACTATAAAAAGTTATACAAAAATTAATCTGTTCGGGTCGAACCGAGCTATTATATATCATTATCAAGACGTTCTTCAACTCCGGTCCATAAGGTTGGAGTCAGCTCGGTTTAGTAAGGTCGAACATAAGTACGTTATATTTATACATAACATGCTTCTTTTCCTTTCCTTTTTCTAAGACGGCCTTCTTTTCCCTTTGCGTAACCCTAACCTCTCAACTCTCATTTTCTCAAGCGGCAACTCTCTATAGATCGACTGGTGTGCGGCGAACTTGGAGCGGCAACGGCGAGCGGAAAGGCATCGGCGGAGTCGAGCGGCGTGCGGCGTGCGACGAGAGGCGAGCGGGCCAGCGGCAGACGGCAGTGATTCGGAGCGACAACGCAGCTTCTTCCGGTAGTGATGGCTGAACCTAATTCTCAAAATTAAGTGTGATTTTTGATTATTGAACTAATTTGTGGATTAATGTTGGTTTATCGAATTCTAAATTCTGAAAATGAAATAGCTGAACCTAAATTCTCTGAAAATGAATGTGATTTGTGATTTATTGAATGACTGATGTATTGATATTGGTTTACT